ATCGAGATGTCTTAACTCTATCTGAGTTTAAAGGGGCTCTAGGTATATCTACGTAGCCGGCAAGTAAGTACGGCTTCCCCGGCCGGAGTTTTTTTTTTCAGTGTAAAAAAATTAGAGTAAATCAGGGAAACAGAAAATGAAGAAATTAAGTAAAGCCTAAAGAGTCTGATGAAAATATGTGCTCGATGCATGATTCGCAGGGAGGTGTGCAGCTAGCCGTGAATGGAATTGGAGGCGAATAATTAGGGAATATTCATGAAGCGGGAGTCCGAGAGGATCCGGATTGGAAGGTGGATTTATCAATATCTTCAGTTTTCATTCGGATCCGGGATCCCCATCCCCCCTCCCGCCATATTCCTTATTACAGTGATTTTCCGCTTCGGAGGCCCGGCTCGGAGATGGACGAATTTAAGCCGATTGAGTCATTAATTTGGCGCCGCGAGCTGGGAGTCTGCAGATATTTGCCGGAGCACGAATAAGCCCAAGTCGCATCGCTGGGTCGCATCCCCCGACCCCGCCTCGGCTTGCGTAAATTTTACAGGCCGTCTCGTAACGCGTTTAAGTCGAATTTCCCGCCAGGTGCTGCGCTTTCCGACACGGCCACTTTCCTATTTCATTCTAATTACGGTCGATGCGAGGCCGGGAGGGGGATGGGGGGCAGGGGTGGAAATTGTTCTAGGCCTCCGCAAGTTTCTGCAACGCCCCGGGTTTTTGCAGAAGGGTCAGTACAACGCGTCGATTATAATTGTGCTGAATTTTTTGTTAATTTTAAAATGAGCGTCAAAGTCGCATTAATCCACAAGATTTGAAAATCTGAAAATTGAAAAATCAAAAAAAAAAAGAAAAAAAAATTAAAGAGTTTCAGCCTCAGCAATTCATCAAACAAGCATCATCAAGTTCTATTTCTGCTTGTAAGTTATCAACTTTGGAATTTTTTCAATTTCAAGAGACTGCGTGCCAATATTTTTGAAAGAAACTTTTGAACTGTTATCGGAAAGTCGGGGAATTCCATGTTCTAGAAACTTGAAAAGTTATGGAAAAGTCAGAAAATTTTGGAATTCAAGAAAACTCATCACCGTGCAAAATTGCACTCATAACTCGGTGGATACATTGAAAAACTCTTTTTTTCCCTGAAAATTTTCATCAGAAGTCATGCCAGAATTATTTTTTTGAAATATCTTCTAAAAGTCAGGGAATTTTATGTTCTAGAATCTTGAACAGTCATGGAAAAGTTTGAAAATTTTGAAATCTAAGAAAACTTATCACCCTACAAAAGGACTTGCATAGCACGGTGGATAAGTTCTCATGTTTAACCCATAAGCTAGAAATCAGAGTTTTCCGTTTACTCGTTAAGTGGGCTCAGAAGCGAGTAGAATGATGAAGTGCGATAATCGCTATTTTTTGGATTGGAAACTAGAATCACCCCCCTCTCCAATCCATGTCCGTAAGGGGTAGTTGGGCCAGCTTCCAATCGAATGATGGAGAATCTGTACGTTCAGCTGGACTGAAAATAAACGTCATAATAACAAAATATACTCTACTCATTCTATGTAATTATCTCTCAATTGGTATTTTTTATTCCCCACCCAGAAAATTGGAATGACAACTTAATTTGGGGACTTATTTTGTTGACTACACAACAAAACAAGAGTTAAATAAAAACAAAACCTAGAACGTTTCGAAATAAATGACGATTTCATTTTCAACTGGACAAAAAAAGGCGAAAAAATGCGTCGTCGATTCGCTGTTATTGCGAGACCGAAACTCAATAGTTAAATGCAACCTATTAATTGTTTCCCTTCGTTTATACAATTTATCTCCTGTTGTCGCTATTCGAGTAAAGGATAAGTGTAATAATAACAACTTTCAAAAAAAAGACATTAAATGGACGTATTCATGCCAAAAGGAACTAAATGTAGAAACACATGGAATCTAAAGGAACTAGGTACATAGAATTAAGATGCGTCATAGTTCCTTTTCTTATAATTCATTTCTTCGTAGTTGTTTTTAAGCACAAATACGTCCAAATAATCAATAATTTCTTTAGTTTTGTATTTTCCCTAGAAATGTACAATATAAAAAGGAAATCTAGGCTAATCCTCTTTAAGCCTCTCTTCTTTTGCGAAAAAGTCTTAATTTCGCTAGAAACTGCTCTGACGGAAGCAAAATACTCCTTTAATCCGTAGCAGTACAAAAAATGTCGAGACCCACGCTTTTCCCAGGTAAATGACGTCACAAAAAATTGACCACGTGATAAGGCAGGGCGGTAACGTCAAGACGAATTCCTCCCTCATATAAATAGGAGGAGTTTAATTTTTAGATTTCCCTAAAGTCTACCGTATTGACGTAATAATGTGTGTGGGCCTCTCCGTGCGCTGATTTAGAACTCAGGGAATTCGTCGCGAGCCTCGGTTTCGGACTCTCGTCAATATTCAATGAGGCAATCGAGTAAGAAAAGAGACCGGTTATTTTCTCTCGGTAGCCGCCCGCGATGCTCTGACGGTAGGCGAGCTATCGATGTTTTCCCGTTTAAAAGTATGGTTAAGAATCGATTATCGAGGTACACCTTGGTGATCGATCGTTTTCACAGGTTCAAACGGCGGGTCAATTGATTTATCGCAAAGCACGATATGCTTCTGAAGCTGAGGCACCGGGGGACCGGGACCGAAGACAGAGCTAGTCTCAAATCTAAAAGCTTCGATCCGAGACGCTCTGCGGCGCGGCGCGGTGCCTCCCCTGTTCCGATGTTTAGTCGTACATTTTTTATGAGCCATCAAGCTTTGTTTCCTTCAATTGCCGGTGTGCACTCGGCTTTGACCCATATTTCCAGAAATATTATGAACACGTGCTCTCGCGGCACCTTACCTGTTCCCCAAACGTCGTCGCCCCCCACCCCCTCTCCGCGCCCCCTTTGTCCCCCTCTCTCGCTCGGTCCTCCTCTTCAACTCGCGTTTTTCGTGCTAAGGGGCCGTTTATAAATTACGCAAGGTTATTAAGAGGGAGGAAGGTCAAGAGATGCCTTATTGGAGGGAGGGAGGCGGGAGGGGCCGTCATTTTGCCTTATGTAAGGCAAAATGACCGCTTGCGGGAGAGAAAATTTGCTTATCTGTCCTTCCACGTGTCCAATATTTTCACATTAAGTTCAAAAATCTTCAAATGTTTTAAAAAAATTGTCAAAAAAATAAATCGTATTTTTCTCCCCGTATCCCTATCGCCCTATCTCCCGAATCTAGGGAGAATAAAAATAGAATAATAAGAAAAGGACGCAGGAATTTTTAGAAGAGGAAAAAAATACACTCCCAGGCAGAGAAAATGTTAATATTTGTGTAACTTCAACCGTAAAAATAACAAAATATTAAACTGCATAATTCTGTTTCAAAGATGTTTACCTCCAGTCTTATTTTTTCCGCGTCGCAAGGAAATCTTATGAATAACGGCGAGATGCCAGTATTTTCCTCTGCCAACATCGGTTTTCATCAGGTTCCAACCGTTAAAATAATGAAATAAGTCGAATACAAGTTGAACTTGGCAACAAAGTTTTATTGTGTAAACCATGTACAGTGCTCTGGCTGAAACATCAAGAAAAAGTGGAGGATTTTAATTTTTTCCCTCTGAACTGGCAATAAGGCTATACTTGCCGCCCATTCATGCCCTATGAGCCACACCGCAAGCTTAAAGCATCCCTCAAGCATCCTTCATCTCTTTTGGCTGAAGAGCGTAAAAAAGAGCTTCTTCGTGTCGGAGATTATTCTTTTCCCTTTTTTTAGCCTTTCCTCCTTACACGAACATCCGTTGCGATTATTCCTTTGAGATTAGAAAGTAGAACGTATCCGCTAAGATAGAATCTAATCGAGTGAATACTTGTCAAATTTTGAGAAATGCGCATTTGAGCATGCATCATGTGACGTAAGCATTCTTCCTGGTATAATTCTGATGGAAGAATATTAAAACTCATGGCGGAGAGTACATTGAAGGAGAGGAATCCCACCTGAAATAATATGTGTTTGAACCGAAAAACACCTCACACGTTTTGAATTCCTGTAATTATTATTTTTATGAATTGAAATGTTTAGGTTTGGGTGAGAAGAGCTTTAATGTTCCTCTGTACCCTTTTTTCCCAATGAAACTGAATCTGGATGCTTGCGGTTTTGTTGTGGGACCAAAGGATATCAGTGGCGTAGCCAAAAGAAAAAATTTAAGGGCCAAAGAGTCCCGGTCAAAAATATCTTAGCTGGGAGGTCCAAAGGTAAAATAAATTCCTAATAATTACGAAAGTTTCCCTCTTGTGAGGAACTTCTTCAGTCTCACAGTGGATCGAATCTTCAGAAAGATCGGACACGACATTTTTGACCAAGACTGCAAATTTTGATGTTTATTTCTTCACATTTTAAAATTCAAGGGGTAATTTTGGTAGAAAATTTCACGAGTGAACCATTGAAACCACTTTTAGAACCTCAAATTGCTGTATAAACGGAGTTATGAGCTTTTAAAGTTTCCAAATTTTGTCTGAAATCCCCCATTGACTCGATACACCGTGAGTCGGGGGGAGATGACCCTCCGTGACCCATCATGCCCTTTACGCCACCGTTGCACAGTGGATCGAGTCAATTAAAGGGGTCGGACATGAAATTGTTGACCAAAACCGCAGATTTTGATGTTTATTTCGTCACAGTTTAAATTTCAAGGGGTTCCTACAGAAGAAAATTTCACGAGAAAACCAATGGCACCACTTTTAGAACCTCAAAATTTTGTATAAACGGAGTTATAAGCTTTTACATTTTCCAAACTGTGTCCGACCTCTCCTATTGACTCGATCCACTGTAAGTGGGCTAAAGATTTGCACCTGGTTTTTTACAAATGGATCTGAATCATGCTGACACACCTGGACAGATCTGTCTATTGCGTATTTGTGAGTTAATTCCAGAAACTGAATGTCTAATAACGATTGAAAAGATTTACCAACGTCTCTAATTTTTGTTTAAATTTGATTTTGTTCGCAGGTTTTCGATTATTTAAGGAATTTTGTGAGTCCATTCCCGATGAGCCCATCCCTCAGTTAAGCTTTTACGAACAGGTAAGACTTAATTTTTCTGTCTCTTTTTTGAAAAATTTAGATTTATGCTCCTTATGTATGCTATTTTTATGTCTCGAATTATAAATTTAAGCGTTGTTGGTACACTTCTACGCAACCTGAATAAAAATCTGTCGGTATCATTTTAACCGATTTACTAATAAAAATTAACTCTTTGTCTTAACACCTAATACTCAAAACCCTAATAAGTACATGCTGGCAACATTAATTCGTGCGGTTATTCTGTATCGCAAGAAAGTTGCTCCTTAGACTAATCTCTAGGTAAGCATATAAACTCCAGGCGTCAGTAAATTAAAATTAGTTTCATTCTTTTCTCCTTTTTCTCTCTTTTTTTAAACTTAAATAATGAGTATAATTTTCTATCATGTTCACATTGATAAATCACTCAAACGGTGCCTAATGCTTTCAATAAGTGCGTTTGTAAAGCGTTTATGTATTAACGAAAGCGAAATCGTAACCAATTTGATGGTAACGCCTTGTCGCAACTATTCCTGCCCTCCCTAGGGATGTCCGTGTTGCATGCTTTGCGATATATTGATCGATCTGCCACTTAAACCTATGGAGTAGGATCGATAAATAGGGTATTCGCAACGACCACTTTAATAATCGATTCTTTACCACAACTTCAAATGGGGGAATAGCGATAATCGACCATTCACGTCTCGCCACTGACGCTCGGGCACATTAGATTTTCCACTTAGGGTAATAATCACAGTCGTTCCTGAAACAGCTTTTTTCCTCAAGGGAAGATATTATTTCGGACGCGTGCGTCTAAAAATCGCCTTCAATGTACCTAAATTACAGATTTTTAACTTCACGAAGGTCTCAACTTATTATTTACTGTAGGAAAACGCTTCGTAGCAAACTTAACTTGACTCATCAGAATATTTCAAATTTGTATTAAAATGCTGCATCAGGGTGTCTACAAGTCCGGAAATAGTACTGATTTTTTAAGGGCGGTCCGGAAGTACTAAAAAGGTGCGGAATTCCGCAAGATGGTCCGGAATTTTTGACATTTTTGTCGCAATTTGAGCGAGAAATTCAAGTTTGGAATTTTTCGAATTTCGTCAATTGGAAGTTCTGAAAAAGTACTGAATTTTTCTGTTGAGGAGGTACTGAATCTCTTAGGAATGCACTGAAAAGTATTGTAGATGTACTGATTTTTGGCCAGCCTGTTTTAGGTGCATACCAAGTGGATCCTTCGGTTTCTTTATTAATTGAAATATGTATTTATATTCTTATGCACCTGTTTACTTATTTGGTACATGAGTCGGAAAGATTGAGCACCGCGAATTGTACAGCAAAAAGAACGTACATTAACCGTCTGAAATAAAGGGAAGCAAGTATTTACATGTAATTTTTTCGAATAGTAAAATGAGTATTTTTGCGGTCGCCTCAAGAAAACGTTTTTTCGAGCCTGTCGTGTTGAGAAATAAAAGCAGGCCCTTTTAAAGGCGGATGAAGGCTCCGAGCCCTCCCGAGCAGCGGGAGAGGAATATACTTTGACAGTGAACATGTAACTAATTGAAAGGGAGAAGGGTCTTCGTATACTGATCAAAACTTTAAGCTTTTGATCACAGTCTTAACAAACGGCAGATAGGTGCCTGAAATGTCTCATCGTGAACCCTTCTCAAAAGCCGTACCCTCCGCTCTCGTTGCTGCGTTTTTATTAGCTGTTTCTGGCAACGTGTTTTGCAACTTGGGGCGCTCATTATCATTTTCCTGTTGCTTGGTAGTTAGTCAGGTAGTTCTTTGTATTTTGATACTTTCAGCTGCTGCGAGGACTTCACGACTTTTTATGCGTATAAGAATTTTCTAAAATGCCTCCAGATGTCTGAAATTCCATTCTATTGATCGTCGCAAAAATGATACTGCTATGGCCCAAAGGAATCATATGTATAACTATTTTACTCATGATTTTTTTGGAAATACTTTTTTTCATTTGGAGGCTGAAGCAATATAGATTTCAGTGCAACGCCAAGGATTATATGGATTGCATTTTTTAAAAAAGAACCCAAAGCACTCCAATGTCGCCAAGATTGTGCGGCTTTTTTTTACCTTGCAAATATAGACTGATCTCCAGGGTGTCTACAAGTCCAGAACTTCCGGAAAGTTCGGAAATAGTACTGATTTTTCAAGGGCGGCCCGGAAGTACTGAAAAAGTGCGGAAATTCTGTTAGAAGGTCCGGAATTTCCCAGTTTTGTCGCAATTCGAGTGAGGAATTCAAATTTTTATAATTTTTCGAATTTCGTCCAATGGAGGTACTGAAAAAGTACTGAATTTTTCCGTTGAGAAGGTCCGGAATTTCTCGGGAATGTATTGAAAAAGTACTGTAAAAGTACTGATTCTTGGCTAGCCTGTTTTAGTAGACACCTGATCGTCTAAATAAATTTTATCTTTACTCCCAGTAAACAATAAATTTAACACGAAAATTACCCTTGAAAATTTAATTTCCTGCATGATTTCAGTAATTTTATCGGAAAGAATGTAAGTTGCGCAATCCTAGCAACATCGGAATGCTCTTGGTCCCTTCTTGCAGAATGCAATCCATATTTCACTCTAAACGTAATTTTCACGAGCATCCGGGATACAAGTAACGACGTAACATGTGTAATCACTTGAGGCTTCATAGTGGATTACCCTTCAAAGTTGGATATACCACAATCCTTGTCAGAAATTGATGTGAAAAGAGCCTGATGAATGAACGAACGAACGGCTCCTGATCCTACCAATAGATTGAGGCGAGATTGAAAGAATTGAAAGAAAATCTGACATCGTGAAAGGTCGTGCGAGAAAGATCAACAACCTTGTGCCCTTTCACGTCTCGTCGCCCCTCCGATGGAAAAGCGTATCTCAATATTCTCATGAGCCCTGTTTCACATATCGAACCATGTCTTCGAGAGCTCATGCGGAATTCGAGATACGCGCTTACGTCTGAGTAGCGACCATCTTTCTTCCTCGGCGGATGCACTCTTCAATTTCGTAGTATTATTCCTGTATACGAGTATGTGTACGTTTCCTCCCCTGTTCCTTGCACATATTTTTTCGGCCCAAGGAAGTTTTCCACTTTAATATCCACGTTCTTTTGTACTCGGTTTCATTCTCTTTTTATTTGTCTTCCCATTTCCGCGCCGTACGTTAGCCGCGTCTCCTTTTCGAGTGTTTATCTCCCGCGTGAATTGAGCGTTTCACGTGATTTACACGAATTGCCAGAAGTACACTGAAAAACAACTCCGGTCGTGTAAGCCGTACTTACGGGCTATATAGACATACCGTCCGTGTTCCGGGCTCAGAGAGGCCGAAAATTCCGGGCGTAGCACCCGGAGCAGTCTAAGCTACGGCTCCAGCTCCCGAACGGACGGTATGTCTTTATAGCCCGTAACTTTTTTCCGTGTAGAAAATCATATCCAAGAAGTAGACATTAGTGTTTGGAGGCAGATTAAGGGCATGGAAGCTTTGCTTTTATAATTTCCAACCTAAAGTTCGGGTTACATATTTTCGTTGCCAATAATCAAGGAAATGAATGTTGCTCGCTGTAATAAAATACTGATATTTTGAAAATATTTTAAAGTATTCGCTGAAAAGTGCGATGGAATCGCAGGATGAAAAATGTGATTTGGAGACAGCATAAGTATATCGCATTTTATGCATTAATAGACAGGATACAATTAAATTGTCAATTTTCAGGCAAACTTTTACTCTTGATAAAGTTGAATTGACCGAAAAAGGGGTATCGATGGTCGTCCGTGGTCCCTCCTGGGTAAATTCCGTCAACTCCACGATTTATTGCTCATTGGGGGTCAATATTTTTTGCGTAATGCATCAAGATTTGATCATTTTCGGTCTCTTAGTAGGTCTAGTGCGGACCTGAACATAAGTCTGAAGGCCGATTCTGGTGTAAAATGCGGATTTTTCGGCATTCGACCGCAAATTCAGTGGCGCAATCTGTGGTTTTATCATTGGTATGAACATGGTTATTAAGGACGTCTTTTAAAGTCATTGAACGGCGGAAACATTTTTTACCTAACAACCCTTGCTTTACTCTGAATCCGTATTCTTGCGGTTCACGTAAGAGGAAAGAATTTTCCGCAAGGAAAGTCAGGCCCGCAAAAAAGTCGCAGATCGTCCGTTTGAGAGTCGCAATAACATCGTGACAAAAGGAATCGAGTTCGCAGTTGTCAGACTGTCAAATAAACACAATAAAGTGCTACAGGTCGTAATATTTCCGTCCTCTCTGGCAAAAACAATTTGGTTTCATCATTCTACTGTGATGGATCAAACATATCAACGAAAAACCGATGTACAGGAAAGTAAATCTTACGCAAAAAAAGAAAGAAAGAATGGCAAATAACCCCTTAATTTGACCAAATTAGTACGACTTGATCGAGTAAAGTTGGGTCCGTCGACGATTGGAGTCGCGAAACTCGTATTTCGATTTGCGACGTTGCAAATCTCTTTTCGCTCTCATTTTTTCAAAGAAAAATCAACGAACTTATACAATTTTTTCAAAGTAAAATTAATGTATTTAGTTATTTCGAATTCTTACCGATTTCTTTTCATCCTGAACAGAATATTCTGTTAAAATTTTGAATAAGCAAAATCACTGGCTTTTTTTGAAAAAAATAAAATAACAAGTAAATATTTTGAAACGTTGCAGCAGTCGGGATACCATGTTTTGGGACTGTCACCATAGCCATACTACTCAACACCTTTCAACAATGAATTTTCTTGCAGAGTTGAGCTAGCATGAGCATTATTAATGAGTACCGTAAAGCCCTCTTGCGATGGCATGGTCAGGCCCCTTCACTTCATGGAATAGGCAAAATAAGCTCCTCTCAAGCTTCAATAGTCGTACTACGTGATCTGATTTTGCTCCACGATAAGAAAAGGTTGAACACACGCTGGCCCAGACAAATAATTCGAAGGCAATGAAAGAAAACGTCTGCTATTAATGAGCCGGACAATTTCAATTTCAGTAGAC